ACATATCCAAATGTGACATCTCCTTATTTTTAAGTGTTAATAATTAGCTCTCACATTGGGCCAAACCATTTCAATGGGCAGATATCGTACACAGGATCGTTTAAACCCTCACTCTAAGCTAACAAGTCTATTTAGGTGTCTGTTTAAAGTGTGTGTGTGTGGGGGGGGGGGGTACCAAAAAGTCAAATTTGGAGCTCTGATTCTCTCTTGAAAAAACGTTTATTTTTATCTCTTTCCAATCTTACCAATATTACCCTCCTTGCCCTAGAGCACAAAAGTAAAAGGAGGTGATTACAAGCCTACCAAGGAAGGAAAAAAGAATGTAACCACCACTCCCAAGGAGTAAGCTTCACACATTCTTTGCTCCTGCTGTAAACACAATGCTGCGAAAAGCTCTTAGAGTTTCACTCTTACCCTTTTTGCACAATAGCATTCCTCCTTGGATATGTGACCTCTTTCCACCTTTCACAATTTGAAAAATCTGCACTCACTCTTCAGGTCCCATCCCTCACCCTCCTCCCTGTCCCAGCCAAGACAGACTGCAAATGAGCCCAATGTGCAAAACTGAGCCCTTTCTCCTTTTTGGAATTACAGGCTAAGGAATCTTGCTTACTTTTTCTCAGCATTTTCCGAATTGTTTTTTTGGTGACCGGGATCCACTCATGCCCAAGTCATCTGCTATCGTCACCTCCTAGCATTTTGCAACATTCATACAAAGCTAGAAAATCACTCCCTAATTTCTGGTCTTTATACACCTAAGTCAAATTCCATTAGCAACAAACAGTTAGCATCTAACTTTTAAGCGCCTGATGCTACATGGCATGACAAATATGCTCTCTATATCCTACAGAAGGAGTGCTGGATCCAGGTCAGAAGAATTCCCTACCACGCAAGCATAATACTCTACGGGGCACTCAAATACAGAACAGACTGGGCCAACAGCCTTTGAAGTCACTTATGTCAGCATCAGAGGCACCTGAATATGTAGCTAGAATCTAGTGTCCGACTAAAAATACCTAGCCTCTCTCGTTCTTGGAAACCATGTTAGAAGCATAAGGATCGTGCAATGAGTCTTCTATTGTGGAAGTTCCACTTGTATGCCTTTGTTTGGTTCAGAACAGAGAAGTTAACAAGATATTACAGAATGGAAACGAAGGCCAGGCATCTCTTAAGTTTATTGGAGAATTCTTAGTTGGGAGAGGAAAGATCACAGACAAATAATTCATAAAAGATAAAAAGAACAATTAATTGCAAATTATTACAAAAGTAATTTCTGAAATGTTTATTTTGAGCCACTGCAAAAACAAAATTATAGTGCATCCTGAAGTTCATATTTTGATAAATGAACATATTAAATGACTGAAAAGCCAAAAAAAGTCACCGTTATACAAGATCTTAATGTAGTAATTCTGCACAAATAAACAGCTACGATTACTCAAAGCTGCTTTTACTATATATATATTAAACAAGAATGTGAATTACTTCAAACACTGCACAAGTAACCAAAGTTAGCAAATTCAGCAATATTAAAACCTGATATTAAATAGTATTCAAACATTACAGCAAAAACAAAACAATGAACTTCTAGAACTACAATCCTACCCATGTGAAAGGAATGTACAGGGATGGAAAAAACAATAATAAATAAATAAAGTGACAAGAGTGACCAACACTGCATCTGCGTCTTCAGAGCAGGAATCCAGTAAGTGAGTAAATGTGTGCAGGGTCTTTTGCTAATAATGGAAACAAAAATGCATTTCACTTTTCGCTTTAGTATAATCACGTAATTCCCACTGATGCTCTAACTGTCTTGTGCTGGTGACAGGTGGGCAGGGTTTTCAGTGGAAAGCATTTTCCCTACACCCTGAGTGTGGATGCATTAATATATTTTTTTAAAACTGTGGAAAGTTTCTTTTGAGAAATATAAAATTTAAAGCAATATACTGATGGGAAAGTGATAGTTATTTGTGAAAGAATACTACTAGCTAAATAATTAACTAAGAAGACATCTGACTCTGGACTCTGATGATGAGTCAGGGTTAAGGTCTGCGACTGGGAAATGTGCACTGATGTCAAAGCCATGTGAGTAAATGATCTTTCGCTTTATACATGGTACATTTAATAAGTAATTAAATTCTCCTGCCAGCAACATAAACCCTTATTTAAGCAAAATGGAAGTATTATGAATTGAATTAATTCACGTCAAATATCTGAAAGGGTAAGTGGAACATTTTTCAAAGTATAAAGATGTTATCACGTATATTCACCGAGTGAATACTCTCAGAGGTTTTATTACTTCATTAAATTCTATCAACCATCCCAATAGATATTTTAATTTTCTTCTGTGATTTACAAATGAATCATTCATTTTGTATAAATCAGGAAGTATTTTCAAAATCAACATTAATAACATCCAAAATATAAATGTAGTTTAAACGTGGCTTGGGAAAAGACTATCAAAGAATTGCTACATTTCGGTCTAAAATAATGTTCTAAAAAAAAAAAAAAACCTATCAGAAGGCCTCGTCCACTTTCTTCCCACAGATCCTTCAAGGGTTCTGAAATTGATAAACAGAATTCAACTCAACACACATCACAGCTTAACAGTTCTGAATAAGACATGGTAATTTCATAAGAGCCAAAATGCACAGAATGGCAAGATCACAATGTTATATAATACAAATAGGTCAAGGAGATCTGTAATAAAATAAGACGGGTAGTCCTCAACAAACAGAGCTGTTCTGAAGACTGGGCAACCAAACAGACGGAACATGTCTTTGGAATAATCACAAAGTGCCTTTAAAGAATGTGAGTTTAGACTGCACTTGATTAAAAGATACTTCTCTCCCTACAAGGAGCTTTAACTCACGCTTCTTTTCACATCTGCCAATACTTAATATTATTCTCTATGCCCCTGCGTGAAACTGATACAGGGGTAGAGTTCCACTAGGATTCTTACCATGCATGCTAACTAACACCTAAAGACTGGTCTGTCCTTATGTCGTGGCTAAATCAGGGAACTCTGAATCCAGCAAAGCTCCAGGTAAATGCAGAGAAAACAGAGACAGGAGGAAAATCTTCAAAATGATTTCTACCATAATAGAAATAAACATAAACACTTTCAAGCACAGAAAGTTTTAACGAAACTAATATATTTTCACTTTAGCTGAAAAGAAAGTCAGAACACAATTTGGCTGTTAATCACACCCATACATATATCCAAGTTACTAAACACAACTTGATAGTTATATACTTGTAAAAATTCAATCCAAGCTTAATAAGTAGTAAATCCGTGTTATCATCAACAACCCAGGTGCCAGCATGTATAAACCCAGTCCAGTGCTGCTAAATCTCAAGTTCTGAGAAGCAAAAGACAGAAACAATTCTGGTTATATACATTTCCTGCATTTCTCCACCTTAAAAAATACTTGAAGAAACTTTAGGCAAATTTATTTTTAAGGCTCACTCCATTTCTGTATCTTAAGTTGAGAAAAACCAAAGCTTACAATGTAATCTCAAAATATTTAAGTGGCTTTTGGTATTTTTCTTAAAAAGCAAATTTTACTCTCTCATTACAAAATACATTTCTCTACCATAATTATTAATTCAAATTAATGTAAGTGCCCTTATTCCTTGCCCCTTGGTGGGTGCTATGTCTTCTACACTTTGTGCAGCTTCCAGAACAGTCAGTGCTCAGGGAAAAAGAAAATGCAATGGCAGGAAAAAAGAAAATGTAATGGAGTAAAACCAAAGCCCCCAACAAAAGGTGATTTACTCTAGATTATAAACTCCACTAATGGAAGAACCAAAAACTCACACGCGCATACCCTCACGTACAATACCAAGACACAAGCGCTATTCGAGTCAACTTGCAGTTTCTAAAGACAAGGAAGTAAAAAAACACAGAGCCCAGAAAAATCATGTCAGTCAACTTTACAAAACAGTGCAGATACTATTTTATCGGGGAGAGGGAGCCTGGGCATCCCTTCTTTTTCTAGAAAAAGCTCATCCTTGCTAAGAAGAGAGTTGTTTGTTTTTCAAAAATCCAACAATGAAACTCATTATTGGGCTTCTCTAAATGCATTTCCATATTAACATTAATTTTTAAAATTTTAACATGTTTTGCACCTTTATTTTCATTTATAGGATAAATTAGGGACGCAAAATAGTTAAAAAAAACCAAGAAATAAAAATTCTTACTGCACAATCATTATAGACATTTTATTTTAAAGCACCTTTTAAATGTCAACAGTGGGTTTCTAACCAAGAAAACAGTAAAATAAAAAAGGGCACAAACCCACTAGGCAAGTCAAAAGTATTCCTCTACATACACACACACACACACACACACACACACACACACACACACACACACACTTTCATGCCAGATGGATTGGCAACATTAGCAAATAATGTCATTTAATGAAAGGCTGGGGAAACTATCATTTACGGTATTTAGAGAAACCTAAAATACTAACGTTTCTAAGAAATTAAATAGTTTGGGGGGATTCAAAAAGCTACCAATAGCTGAGCTATGAAAAATAAAAATGACTTTTAAAAATAAGAAAAAAATTCTATTGGGGGAAGAAAAACCATTAGCCTCAAAGCTATTTTGTCAGATTAGTTCTTAACAGGATAGCATTTGTCTGCAACGTCCTTGGCCGCCTGGGTGCGGTTCATAGCAGCACTAACTTGGATGCAAAAAGAATGCTGTCAGTCAGTGTCCCTGAAAACGTCATGGTCAGACCTTCCGTCAAATCAGTGTTCTTAGGATCTTAACACACTATGCACGGGTCTAGAAGAATAAATGAAGATCATATTTGACAGAGATTACAAAAGTATGAACTATATATATACAACGTGGGATGACGGAATGCGCTTTTAAAAAGCTCTATCTACTTCCCTCCCAGTTCACGGTAAGTGTTAACAGTTTACCCTATGCATCCTTATCTGTTATTTCCTCTCCCCAAACAATAAAATGGACCGGCTGCGAGTTTGTTCTATGCGTTTTCCAAGAGCCAGTCAAACAGTGACTTGCACCTCTCCTCCCCAGGCGTCTTCTCCCGCATGTCATAGTACCGCAGCACAGCCTGCAGGAGGTCCCCCACCTTCCATCCCTTTCCTTGTAGTCGTTTTGAAAGCTAGGAAGAAAGAAAAGCATGTCCAACATTAACCAAAGACAATTTTCTAACAATCAAGTTTTCATTTTTATTTTTAATATCAGATAACTGTAAGAATCCTGCTGCCTGTGGTTAAAATATTATTCCCCAGTTTTATAATGAAGTCTCTTCTCCACTAAATCACCACCCCTCTTGCTTCCTGCCTTTGACAAACACATCTCCTTCACAGAATGACACTTTGGGATTGTTGGGAGACAGAACTCCACAAACCTCACCCACCAGATAGTCTGTGTGGGAGTCTAGTCTCCATTTCTACACCAAATTCTTGACCTAACTAAATACATCTGCCACACCCTCAATCAGGAACATAAAATAATAAAGATAATGTCAATCTTAATAGAAGGATGTGGATTTTTCCTTTCACAACATGCAGTGTGGCTTTTTTCTGGAATACACACTCTGGCCTCAATGGAAACATGGCTTTCTAAGTTAAGAAATGTTAGTGTTTCGACAAAAACCAACCAAAGTAAATAAATATTGTGGTGATCATTTCACAATATATACAAATATCAAATCATTATGGTGTATACCTGAAACTAATATAATGTTATATTTCAATTACACCTCAATTTTTTTAAAAAGTAAATACAGGTTTAAATAAACTCTATTGTCACCAGAATCAGAACACATCTTCACTCATTTTTTTTTTCTCTTTAGTCCTGTAAAAACTAATTTTGTAATATAAATATGCTTAACCTTTTTAAAAAGTATCCTTTCAGAGATATAATTCACAGAGCATACACTTCATCCACTTAAAGTTTACTAGTCAATGGTTTTTAGTATACTCCCCCCGTTGAATGCAACTCTTACCACAATCGATGTTAAAACATGTTTCATTCACTACACCAAAAGGAAAGCTCTACTTATTAGTAAACACGCCCCATTTGTCACAAACCACTCAACTCTAGGCAATCACTAATCTACTCCAGTCTCTATAAATTTGCCCATTTTGGCCATTTCATGTAAATGTAACCATAAAACATATGCTCTCCGGCGACCAGTTTCTTTCACTTAACATGACTTCAAGGTCCCTCCATGGTGCAGCATACATGTACTTCCTTCCTCTTTACTGACAGATAATATTCCACTGCATATATTACCACATTTTATTTATCCATTCCAGGATGTTTCCACTTTGGGCCTATTATGAATAATGTTGCCGTGGACATGTGTTTTCACTCCCCTTGGGTATATACCTAGGAGTGGAATTGCTGGGTTATAGGATAATGCTAGGTTTAACTTTTTGAGGAACTTCTAGAAAGTTTTCCTAGGTTACTTGGGGAAGAGGTCCCTTGCCCCAAGCACTAACATGCTCACGCTCAGTTCTACTGAAGGCCTTCCTTAGCTCTCAGTTTATCCATGACTAAATGACTTGAAAATGTTTGCCTCTCTACAGTCAGTTCTAACACTTTTCCTACCCATTCCTTCTCCCTGACAATTCATTCCTTGAGCATCTCTTTCTGTCTTATTTTCTCCTTCTGCTCACAAACAGAAACCTAAACTAGAAAACTCCAAAAAGTCCAAGTAAAAACAAATTACAAAATGCCCAAAAAAATTATTTTTACCAAATGCCTTTTTCACATACTTCTTTCAACAATATCTTTGTAAATCCTAAACCAGGAATCAAGAGTAACTGGATTGTTCCTTTTTTGTTATTACAGATCAATATATACTGGTTACTCATTTGACTATTCTATACCTATAAGAAGATTAAACTAAAATTCTGGTAAGGAAAATTCTGGGCCAAAAACCTTAACACTATAAACCAAAACTCTTGACTAACAAGGTGCCTGGCAAACAGTTAAGTAAGTTCTCAATAAAGACATCCTATTAATGCATCGAATCTGACTGTTCTATTATTAGAGCCCTATTAAGTCCTCAAAGTGGTTCATGATCCCTTATGAGATGTTTAAACCTTTACTGGCTTTTGAGTATGCTAGTGTCTCCCACTAGAGAGGCTAGATTAACAGAGTAGGAGACATACTAATTACAAGGCACAATTATGAATCAATTTAAAACAAAGAATAACTCAGTTTTTGCATATGAACACATGTTTATTAACGGCACCTAACTTGGAGTACTTAGGATGTGCCAGACACTAGATTAAGCATCTTTTTACATCCTCACAAAAGCTCTGTGAGGTAAACTCCATAGTCATTTTCACAGTGCAGTTAAGGACACGGAGACTGGGGAGCCTGCCTGTGGTTATGGCACAGCAGACATCTGGACCCAACTATGAGACTCTACCACCTAAATGTTTACGCCCTCTGCTATCAAGGGGCATCTTACTAGACCAACCACGTGACACAGAGCAGCATGTACAGCGAAACGTATCCTCACAAACACTCTGTACGGCAGGTCCTTACTTGTATAAACTCCTTCTTCGCAGAGTCATGAAGACAAAGTTCTGCCACTTCAGCCTCCGAAGCGACGAGCCACTGAAGGATAATCCTTAGCTGGGGGTCTACTGTGCACGGCTCCATGTCGATATTTGTAATGAGCAGAATCTTTCGGTCTTGCTCCAAACCTAATATTGACATTTAAGCAATATAAAGTAAAACTCATCAATTCGATTCTCAACACCTCTGGTTTCCCAGGACAGGTACTTTCCATTTCTTAAGATTCCAGCCAATGCTGGAAAAAAATCCGTCCTTTCTTACTCCTATGTTGACATCAACTAAAACATTTATTTGAAAGGGTAAAACAATTCTACAACAAAGGAGTAACACTGATCGTCTACTGAGAGCACAGATGTAAAACTCTACTTTGAGGCACTGAATTCAGATCCTTTATAAATGCCATAATTTGTGTCAAAATACAATACACAGGTAAAGAAAGAGAAACCAAACTATAAAGCTATAATAACCACCAAAATAGAAGTGAAACACAAAAATACAATCTCAAATAAATAAACCTATTAAATGGACTTTAAGAAAGCTGCTTGAACTGAGAGAAGGAAGCAGCAAGCCCTTGTATCACACGTATTACATCATAAGTAACGTTCTAAGCTCTTCTGCTATACAAACTCCTGGAATCCTCACACCCACCCTATGAGGTGGGAACTACGTGAGAGATGTGAGGCGAAGAGAGATCCAGAGTATGACAGTGGGGAGGTGGCTGAACCTGGATGTGAACACAGGAAGTCTGGCTCCATGCTCTGTGTAATCACTTCATTCTTTAGGCAGAATGGGGGAAAAAATGTCATATGCAGCCACTTAATATCCCAAGTGCCAGACTGCGGAATTTTCTGGCACACTCCTTGATAAATAAAATACTGCTCTCAAGTTTCTTTTAATGAAAAGTACGTTTTCAACATAAGGAAGGATGAATCGCTGTTGATGATAAAACTAATGACCTGTGGACCCATACCAAGTGTTTACCCACTCCTGCTTAACGATGGCTGAGCAAAAAGCCGAGCTGAGACAAGGGCCCTCCCACACAAGAGATGCACGGTGGGCACGCTGGAAGACATCACGCCAGTTTGTACCAGCAATGGAAATTTGGTGGTGGATGGCCCTGATTCTTCTTGAGAGCACTGGAGGGCATTCTAGACTACCACTGATCATTTTTAGGATGTGTTGGTTCCTAATTTTTCCATTTAAAAAAACGGATCCGTGTCACGCTTTAAGATAAACGTACTGCCTTTTTCCTCCTCTCCCCCCAATGACTCTCAATCAAAAACGGGTCTAGTGCACTATGATACCAGGCGTGGCCTCAGGGCCATTCAGTGAATCCTGCAGAGGTCATGGGGTCGGAAGCTAAGTCACCTCAAGACTTCTCTGTATTACTGGCTTTCTCAGCTCAGAGCTCCTGGCTCTTTGGAGAGGTTACTAAACTCCAGCGAAAAGGGAAGGAGCTGACCTACTGCAACTATAAACAACAATGAAAAGTAGGATTTCCATAATTTTGAATCTTTCTATAAATTCGTTTCAATCCATCTCCTAATTTACCAATTCCTAATTTAACAAAATTGAAAGTTGGCCACAATTTTCTACATGATGAGAAGACTGGGATCTCAAAGGTGAGTGATGGCATGGCATATATCCACATGTAATTCTTCTGATTTCTATCTACTCATAAAAGAAACCCTAAAGAGCTTGCTAGTGCCAAAAGTAAACTTTGAAAATGAATTTCATTATTTATATTCACCTGTATCTTCTTTTCTCTTATTCATTCCTCAGTAAAGTCAGTTAAGTAATGACTAGTTCATTAGAGAAAATACCACACGCATTTACACCATGTACTGTCTTTGGAATAACTTTGTTCACAGGCATGACTTGGGAAAAAGGATACAACTTTTCTAGACAAAGTCAACACTCTTTAAGTCAACAAAAATAAAGCAAATTATTACCCAGCCTATCTGTGACTCTAAAAGTATTGTCCTACTCCTACTTCATATCTGATGACAAAAACTTACTTCTAGAAGCCCGATATGAAGAATGTCTATTTAGCAGAAGCATTGGCACTAAAAAATAATCACCTCAGTTTGGAGGATTTTATCTCAAAAACCAGTACATGACCTCCCTAAATAAGGAAGGCATAATTGGTGACAAAACTGATTGGAAACTCAGGTGTTATGAAAGTACATTTCAAGAAATTCATTTGGGAAATTTTCTCAGTTTGTCTACTTGCAAAGAAAGGATGAAAAAAATCACTAGTTCAAAAACAGTATCTCAAACAGTATGAATATTTTTAGGTGTCACTAGAGATTGTTGGTATTTTCATAATTAAAAAAAATAAAGATTTTTGGAAAATAAATCAATAGCCATCTAATCACAATGAAAATTCAGCTTTGGCACGGAAAGTTTCTATGTTTGCTCAGATATTCTAATATATTTGAATTAAGCATTATAAATGATGGTCCAGAACTCTGTGACCAATGGTGTCCAGTATTTACATATTTAGAACTATATTCATCAAAGAAAGAATTGAGTATTTTCTTCAAATATGTATATGTGTGAGTTGAGGAATAGAATTGAGAGAGGGAAGAATTTATTTTAAAATATCTTTTAATTTTTATTTATTGATTTATGAAAGATCAACATTAAAACACTAATTCTAGAAGCTACTAGTTTGGGAGGAAAAAACTAGGGCATATGCCATAATTATAATAAATTATATCTTATAATGTAAGGGTTTTGTGTTTTTAAAAAGATAATTATACAGAGAGATTATCATAAATTTCCCTCTCCAATAATTAAATAATTCTTTTAAAGCATGTCAGCCTTTACACCAATGGGCAGGCACTTCATTAGTTTAGCAATCAAATAGTACAAATTGTTTAACAAAGGACCTGACATTGGATACATTAGTACAAGAATATCCTGATTTGTAATGTAAATACCCCGATTTATAATAAAACTGGAGACTGACAAAAATGGACAGGTTAAAGACTCTTCTAGAACCTTATACAAAAAACACGCAAACACTTTGAAAAACAAATTGTCAGTTACCTTCTACATCATCCTCATGATCTTCATCTTTATCATCTGGCCCATCACTTTTCAAATAAAAAGAGCAGAAGCAGTTAAAAAAATGGCTTTAGTTAATAATAGTATTAAAACTAATTCTTAAAACGTGGTAAAGAATGAATGTTACAATGATATGTGACACTTAAAAAGGGAAGAAATGCCAATAAAAAAGGAAGCTTTGCTTCTCACACCATTTCATGTTAAAATCTGAATTGTAAATGATGCCTAGATAGGTCATCGATAACTAAGAGGTTTTACCTTACCGTGATACAGAACACCAAGTAATCTCATGATAAAACTTATTTTAAAATAACTTAAAGCTGAAATATTCTACTAATTTGGTTTTAGGTAACACAGCATTTGAATTATCACAGAATGCCATGAATAATTATTAATGCTTCTGCTGATCCCATGTACATATTTTTAACAGGGTAAAAAACACCTTTTTCCTACACTTTTCTTATATATGAAATAAAATTACATACAAAAACAAAATAAAACAATGAACCCAAACCCCAGAAATCCTGTAGGAAGCAAGCTCTTTTTAATGAAATAATAATTGGTAGAATGAAAAAGAACAAGCAGAGCAACACATGCATAGACGTAACACATTTTGCAATTAGATGTCAGTCATGTCTTAGCATAATTGAATTTTTTCATTAGATGTAAATTATCAAGCAGAATCATGTCCAAATATAGGAGAAAAGCAGATTGAAACATACTGGCACTGTAACCCACATTCTTTTAAGAATATGACATCATGCATTAGTGTGAAAGACTCATCAGTTTTTAAGTTTCTGGACTGGACCAACCTGTCTGTTGTTGGAAAGGATAAATTGTCCTCATACAAATCTCCTTCTAAACCAAGACTGCTCCAGCTACTGCTGTTACCATTACTGCCAGAAGAAGAAAAGAACAGAGCTGAACCAGAAAATGAATAGTAAAGAAGACCTTGGCTTTCCTTGGAACAGCTTCTGTCAGTGTAACTGGGAGGTTCGGAAGCTGCCCCGGCGGAGTGGGGCATCCTTGGAGGGAGAGACCATCACTGCTACTGGAAAAGGTACTTGACAGCTTCGGACATTGAAAGTTTTCTTACTTGCCCTCAACAGATCAGGAAAATTATTCTAAACCTGTATTTATTTTACACATGAACATAACAGAAAGACTTTTAGGACAGCAAATGGATGCACAAAGTAAGAAGCTTCATGATTTAATTAACGTCTATGACAAATCTTGGGATATAATTTGTAAAAAGCCAATACCCTTCAGTTTGGGTAAAATTTTAAAAAGACCGTAGGTTAACATCCTCCCAGCTCTTTAGACAGCGCAAACACTGATGGGCTGGGGAGGTGGGGATGAAATGACAGGCACAAAAACATAGCCCCGAACAGACCTTTTGTACCTACTTGGAGAAAAGATGTTTTCTGATTTTAAAATACTCTTATGTCAATGACCTTCATTTCATACATTGTGTATAATTCAGTAGGTGGCAAATATTATACACCTTCTTCAGAATATTGAATAACCAAGGCTCAATTAAGCAATGCACCTGTCTGGTGGGCCAGTCACCAGTGCCACACAGAGAACTTCTTGAACTACCTAACTAGAAGAAGAAAGCAACTAGATTCTCAAACTGCGGCAAAGCAATAAAACACAAAAAGCAACTGTGTTCAGAAACAAAATTAAATTAAAAATTTCAGATTAAAACCTAAACATGCAATTTAAAATTCTAAATCATTAAAATAATTAGTAAGCACATTAGTTCGCAGTGATAAGCAGCTTATATTTCCCCACATTATGCTAGGCAAGTATAAAAATTAATATTTATACAAACCAAAATTTTGGTTCTAAAAAGTGAATTAACACAAAATCATCCTCTGTGTATCAGTAGATGTTGACAAGGTTACCAACAAAGGGACAATTATTTAAACGTTATAAAGAGTTTCCAAGCAATTTCAACAATTTGCATATCCATCTTTACTCTGGCACTATCACACTGTCACACACTATAATGTCTTCGAAAATAAAAGCTAAAACTGAGCAGTGCCTTTTCAACCTACGTTCAAAAAAGTATAGCTCTATCACAAAACCATTAAAACAACCAGAGTTATGCCTATGTAGCCTGCTGTCAAACAAATCGAGAATGGAAAAACATGGAGATACCGAAGGGACAGACGGCTGTGGGCCAAAGAGAAAGAAAAAATTGATATCTCAAACACTGCATTTACATCTACCAATAGAACGATTTTTCTAAACAAAGAAAAATACTACAAAATTAAAATTCTTCCTCATTCCCTGACAACAATGACCCCTCCTTTTAATTAATAATAAAAACCCATCACCTAGATTTTAAGTGAACATGAAAAGAAATAACAGCTGAAGAATGTAAAGACCAAAAATTCAAACTCCCTCTATTTAACCTCATTCCCTCACCTCTGCTGCCCCTCAAAATGGATCAGATTTAAAGTTAGTTATTTATAAAATGCCATTTCTAAATAGGGTGACCATAGAATTTTTCATCTAACCAGGACACTTTTGGAAATGAAAGAAGTCACCATTAATAACTATACCAGAACAGCAGGAGCAAACCAGGACTGTCCTGAGCAATGATCATCTGACATTAATCCAACACAAAACAACTTAATTTCTTCACTTAACAGTCTTCATATTTCATTCTTGAGCACTGTCCTGTTTCCATCATTTTCTTTTATATCTTTTCCTATTTCCTATCTATTCCTATTTGTGTATTTTCCTTTTACATCTTTTCATATTTCCAATGTCTAGAACAGGCATACCTCCAACCAGTGGGAGTCTAGGGCTAAAATTCTTTATTGTGGTTTTCAGCCATATGAAGATGACTATCGACTTTGACATATCTCATAAAGATTATCTCAAAACTTCTGCAAGCCCGGCCCCACCTCTTACCTAATCCACTATATAACTACTAAGATTCACAGACTGCTTGAAGTACTTGAAGAGATGCATGTACCAGGTCTCTTCCTGATCAAATAACTATACATTCCTCATAAACACTTGTGTACTTTGAAATTATTGGTTTTTTTTAACTGTTGCCCTCTACTAAACTTCCTATTTAGAGTGAAAGCACGTAGAGTGTCCAAACTGGAGTCTTTTATCTCCTATCTGATCTCTGTACCAGAAAACAGCACATGTCATCAAAGACAAAACATGTGAAGTCATGTATTTTAAGCGTGGTCTCTGAAGCACCTGCATTAAAATCATCTGAGGTGCTTACCAAGCATGCAGATTCTTGGGACCTCCAATGACCTAATGAATCTTAATCTCTGGGAGGTGAGGCCCTGGAACCTGTATATTCAACATGCACTCTACCAACCCTGGACAGGCCCTAGTTTTTCTTTGTGCTTGAACCTTAATAACCACACAGAATAAGAGTTCTTATTAAAACTGTGCTCAGGGGCACCTGGGTGGCTCAGTCGGTTGGGCAGCCGACTTCGGCTCAGGTCATGATCTCGCGGTCCGTGAGTTCGAGCCCTGCGTCGGGCTCTGTGCTGACAGCTCAGAGCCTGGAGCCTGTTTCAGATTCTGTGTCTCCCTCTCTCTGACCCTCCCCCGTTCATGCTCTGTCTCTCTCTGTCTCAAAAATAAATAAACGTTAAAAAAAAAAGAAAAAAAAAACTGTGCTCAATTAAAACTACAGGTGTGTTTCTGACAAAACGCTATCAAGCCA